TGGCAGGACGGCTGCTGCACTAAGCCTCTTCACCAGCATGGCCTCAACGATCCAGCAGAACATGTTAGCGAATACGGCCGCTCTACCTAAGGACGCCTTACCTGGCAAAGCCCATGCCCGGGTCTCGAGCGACAACTGACAGCACGGAAGCGCAGATTCTGAGCACTTGAGCCGAAGCTATAGAGGATCCCGTACATATGCCAAGTGAAAGAGGCAGACGGACGAGAGCATTGTTTACACATGTTTACACGTTGCCTTGGAGACCATGTTGATGTAGGCTCGCCCCTTGGAGGCCTTGCTGTCCTCACGCTCCAACACTCCCCGCTCCACCCAAACATACCCAAACCGCACAAACCCTTCTTTCGTTGGCCTCGTCGCGCTGTAACTCCAAGTTTTGAAGCGTGGCGACCTGACGGCGGCCGGGCGGCCCTTGGGTATGGAACTCTCCCGCTCTGCGATGCTCTGCGATGATGACTGCGCCTCTGCAAGGCTCAACTTGCTTTCCAGAAACTCGCGGAGCTGCTCCTGGCGTCTGCGTCTGCGGCGAAGTGCGAAGATCTGCGAAGATGTGCGAAGCAACCGTGCCTCCGTCACTCGGAGGTTGATGCCGGTGATCAAGACCCGAAGGGAATCCTCGTCGGTTGCCCGACTTTGGGATCCAGTCGAGGTACCTCGTGCACTCAACTTGCGTCACCAGAGGCGGGGGGAGCGGGGGGCGGGCCTTTGCTCGACACCGAAGAAGCCTCGACAGCGCAGCACACAGGGAAGCGCAGAGGTGCTGTGCCGGCGAACTGTGAGGGGCCCACGGATCGGGTCCGGCGAGGCTCGCCTCTCCAGGGCTTGGCTCCCGGAAGCCGAGGAGTCCGTGTGCACTCCGAGGGCTCCGCTGGGCACCGGTGGTGGCTCGACCTCGAAGCGCTCAAGATCGGAGAAGCGCGAGATCCGAAGGGTGCCGTAGACTTCGCAAGGTACCGACGCCCGGAAGAACGCTCGGATGAAAGTTCACCTTGCACGACATGCATCCGAACGGTTCACTTGTAGCGACGACTGTGGACAGCACCAGCCGACGAACCTGTGCAGGAATAAGCCTTGCTGCGTTAGAGGGCTTCACATGCGTTTCACTTCACGTTGGGGAGCGAGGGTTGTTATCAGCAACATGCTCACGAACTTTGCATCACATGTGGGAGAAGGCGCTGCTATGCCAAGAGCTATAGGCTCGGCGAGCCGAAGTGCTACTTGCCCAGCGCCATTGTCGACTGTGACGAGACAACGACACTCTCGTGGAAAATGTGTCAGACGAGGTCGAGAGAAACATCTTTGGTACATGTATGTGTGGTACTGTAACTGTGTTCCCATGCCCAAGTCTTGTCTTCAATTGCTAGATCAACTCGATACATGCCGATTCACGTCTAACATCTAATGCTCGGATATTCGTGTGCTATGCTGTATCCTTGCCAATCATGATGTTAACACCTGTCAGAGAAGCTAGGACCACGTGCTTTTATCTAGTACATCCCTTTTCATCTTTCCGTATTGCACCCTTCGTTTCTTGCTTCCCGTTGCCTGTACGCGTCCTTCTCTCAAGCATGCCCAGTGAAATCGGAGAACCATGACGAAGCTTCAAACTCCCAACTAAGCGACTGCTAGTGTTCCTCTTACACATCCCTATCCCTAGTGTTTAAAAGCGAGCAGGAGTCACAGCTGTGCTCGTCTGCGCGTTGCTTCCGGCAGCAGCTGGGCGGGATCCTAGGAAAACGGCGGAAGGATGACATGCTCACACGGGTGGGCTGGTTGGTGCGAGTGAACACTGTGTGATACATGCGACAAAGGGCAGGACGGACGGACCGATGCCATTCACAGGCTGATGATAGTCCCGATGCGTGAATGAAACCTATTTCAAATTCTCAGCTGACATGAAAAAACCCAAAATACTGGCACCTATCAGGAAAGATGTAAGTTTAGACCTGCACTCTGTGCACGCGAAGGCTCTGAATCTTCCCGCGGGCCAGGGTGGTGTCGGCAAAAGCCAGTCTGTCGCCAGGCGTAGGCCTCAGATGCATGTGCATTGCCAGCAACTTCCCAGTTTTCTGGGCTCCCCACATCACCACAGTCGCAGCATCCGTAGTCGGAACCTGAAAGCAGAACCGCTGACTCTGTGGGCCCCTGTTGGCTGACACATGATCCTTTCTGAGACACTGCACGGGAGATGTAGAAGTCGTGGCCTGCAGTCAAACCCTTGCCCACCGATCTCGCTCTTCTCACCCTGGCTCCCGTGGCTCTCACGGCTCCCTTGCACCGGGCGACCGGGCCTTCGTGGTCTCCGGCCTAAGCTTAGCATGCAGACGAAACATTCGGGCTTGATAAAATCCTGATATAACAACTGCTGCTCGCTGTTTACAGGAGAAACTGCTGGCTCTGCCAAGATGATGCGATGTTGCAAAGAATCGGCAGGGCAAGCGAGCTCTCGGCATCGAAGCAGAAAACACAGATGCAGCTGGCCGAGGAAAGGCCTCAGAAAAACGCTGTCTCAGCTGATGGAAAGCACATCAGCTAGTGGCAGCTTGGGAGACGTCAACACTCCGGGTTTCCAAGCCGCAGGTCTTGCAGCCGTAGGCAATCCTGGCCATCGAGACTTCAAGACCAGGGCCCCGCCACAACCAGAACCAGGCCGGGGCCGCGTGTCGCCGTACCAAACCGCATCGCAGCGGCACTTGGCCCCCTCGGTCTGGGCCTCTAAGGCTGTCCCCATGCTGTCGTTGGCTCAGGTGCGGGTCGGCTTGTTCCAGGGGCCAACTGCACTTTGATCGCGGATTGCTCTGCGTTTGCAGAGAACCGTTGTGACACTTGCGGGGCTGATCCATGGAATGTGAGACGCTACTTCATGCTATTGACCACAACAAGGAGATGCTAGGACACCAGGAGCCTTCGAAGCTCAGCCTGGTACTTTCTTCGGGCTGAAGCAATAGGTAAGCTGAGTGTGCCTCGGTGATTCACCAAGTCCGATCTCGCTCAAAACACTGCAAGCCCTGCTTCGAATCGAGATAGCAGATAGCCGGGCAGCAGCTTCTCCTTCTTGGGTCCGAAGACAGAGGGGACCCACTGGAGCTCCTGGGAATTCAGAACCCACATGAATCCATCTTCCATCATCCTCCCACAACCATGTGCATTCAGACAGGTTTCTTTGGCAGCACGACCCATCTTCTTGGCAAACTTATCTGCCTGAATGAGGTGATCTGGACATCCGACACTGTCCCTTACGGACTTCATTCCAGCCTTGTTGGCTGGTGTCTTGATCCATTTGACATCGTACCAGCTCCAAGCGTACCAGTCTGCCTTCCTGGGTGAGGTGCTTTACATGAGCTTGAGACTTGGATGGGGGCACAAATCTAGAATCTCAGAAAGGACACCTGCGCGCAGGCATATACTGCGGTGTTATGTCTGATGCGTGCAGCGGCACACGGCTCCGGAGCCAGCAGGGACTACAGTGACGGTGAAGTCAAAGGTCTCTACCTCCACCAAACGATCCTTCACCCGCGGCAAAGGACTAGAGACTCCAGCCTTCTCCACCTCCTTGTCGTCCGGACCCTCGACCTCGGAAGAGCTTGAGCTCCGAAAGGCAAGAGACGAAGCTTCAGAGGCCAGCACAACAGTGTAGTACTGCAGCACCTTCCTTGGAAAGCTTCAAGTAGTCTGGAGCTCTCAACGAAGTCTTGAGTGCCACCATGCTTCGCCGTGGCCATGCCTTCTTCTTTGGCTTTCCACTTTACCACATGAGCGCCCGAAGAGCCTCGCAGGATCTCGTCGCAGATGAGGAGCAAGGCAAGGCAGAAAGGGCTGCACAGCACTGCTGCACAGCGCTGCACAGCGCTGCGCCTGCGGAGATGTCGTCCACGGCCACCAGGCTGTCGAAGACCTCGCAGCGGCCGGCTAAGAGTGGAACAGCGAAGTACAGTGAACAAACAGCACCGCGGTCCCCTGCCTTGTCCAGGAACGGCGCTTCCTGGAGCTCTGGTGGGGTCTCCTCCATCCGTGCCTTGGCCTTCTCGGCCGCTTGCAGCTTCCTCTCGCAATCCAGGACTGCGGCCTCCTCAGCCGAGGGTTCCGCCTTGGCGTCCGCCTTGGCGTCCTTGGCGTCCTTGGGTTTGGCTTTCGTGGCTTTCGCCTTCGCTGCCTCCAGCTTCGACTTTGCCTCCGTGATGCCCTTGTCCAGCGCATCGAGCTGTTGCTTCTTCCTTTCGTCCGCGTAAAGCTTCGATCTGGACTCAAGGTGCTTGACAGTTTCGGCAGTCGGTTCCACGGAGATCTCATATCTGAACTGGCTTCCTCGTGTGACATGCATCGACCAGTAACTCTTCAATGCACAATCAACGAGCACACACACCCTCTGTGGCTGCTGTCGAAGGGCGAACCAGCTGCTCATCAAGACCGAAACAAAGCACGTCACCTACCGTCATCTCCAGCTTCAGGTGCTTATTCACAATTTCGCCCTGCTTCACGCAGACTTCCATCAGCTCTTTCCTCTGCTGAGCCGACAGGATTATCAGGACAGCTCGCACACGAACTCAAGCCCCAGGCCTACTAGGCCCTAGGCAACCTCGGCCGAGCCACACATCTGAGAACAGCCACGTGCAGAACTCCTCGCACGGCACGGAATGCTCCAGCCTCAAAAGCCTCAACCCAGGCAGCGTAGGCCTCGCCTCGAAGTCGACGGTGCCGCTTCGGTCGACGTCGGCGGCGTCGAAGAGCGCGTGCGCCCGTTCCTGGACCCAACATCTACCCACTGAAGCCAGCTCTACACACACTCCTTCCAGATCCGATCCTTGGGCATACCCACTGCATCCAGCATTGCGGCTAGCTCGTCTTTGTCTAAGAAGCCGTCATCATTCTTGTCCACGTCCCTGCAAACGCCAGCGATGTCAAGGGAACCGAAGGTCAGCGCCTACTGAGCTCATACATGGTTTCAACTACCGAAGGTCAGCGCTTCTTCTGGCTCGATTTCAACTACCGAAGGGTGAGCTCTCCCTTTGAGGCTCGTACCGGCGTACAGGGTTTGGGCCCCAGCATCGCTCTGCTGAGCCCCGCACTTGTACACGGACATCACACGCTCCATTAAGGGATCCGGCATGATTGCACAGAGGAGGCAAAAAACGGCCTGACCTAGCTCTGTACAAGTGCTTTGCGGTGGCTTACGTCCTGCTGCTGCTAATGCCAGCACTCTGCAGCTCTGCTCTCTCTCTCTCTCTTTCCATTGGAGTCTGCCACAGTCTACCAGCTCATTTGGCACGGCGAGTTGGATCGGGCACGTGGGAAAATGTTGCAGCTTCCCGCACATGTCGCAGTAGCTTTGCCTTTGCTGCTTTCTTGGAGCCAGACAAGGTGCTTGAGGAAGTCAGTGCCACGCTGCAGCGACCTTTCGAAGACGACACGAGCAAAAGTCGACGCCTGTGAGGGGGAGAGGGGGAGGGTCGAGCGGCGGTCCCTCACATGCCAGACAGTGTGAGGTTCGCTCACTGCTCTGGCTGGGGCCAGAGCGGATCCAACGCTTCGGAAAAGAGCTGCAGCGCCTTCGAGGGCCGCAGGGTCCCCCCCCCATTTGCCCGCGACCCCTCCGGCTCGCTGCTCCCCCTTGGCCTCTGCGTCATTGCCACCTCAAGGCCGCAGAACTTCTCCAGGCAATCTGGCGGAATCTGAAACTGAGCCACAGGCTCGCAAGCAGCTCCTCAGCTGCGGCCTCAACCTTCACAGAGACGGCACTCGACTTCCGCGCTTCGGTGCAGCAGCCAAAAGTCAAAAGGCCTCTCCGACAGCCTTTGAGCTCGTGTCCTCGGCAGGCAGAAAGCAAGAACTGCCCTGGAAAAATGTACATACATACCTTACATACCCACATATATGCTCCCCGATTCGCCAAGAGTCCCAGCGCCGCAGGGAACTGCTCAGGTTCTGCCACCTCAGCGTGACAGCGAGCCGAGCGACGACGACCCTCGTGCGTACATGCATCCTCTGCGCCTCTGAGATGGGTGCCCCATCCACCCTGCTCAGATCCAGTTCGAAGGTCAACTTGTTCGGGAAGTCATACGATCGCTACACAACCCCCTTTCTTGAATTGGCTAGGAGTCACAAGGCGGATGCGCACACCGCCTTTCACCCAAGACTTGCCGCTCGGCCCTCCTTGGGGTTGGGGACTGCCGGGACTGCGGCTAGCCACGAGCTAAGCTGTTCTCGGCTCCAAGCCTCGAGACACCCACGCCCAACCAACATGAAAGGTCGACACCGACGTGCTCCAATTCGATAAAAAGCCCGAGACGCCGAAAACTAGAGAAACGAGCAAATCTGTAAGAGGAGCGGAAACATAGATCCGACGTGAAGGTATATTCAGGGGTTTGCACCTCGCTGAACTCATAGGTAGGGAGGGCTTGTGGCAAGTGCGGGACAGCCGAAGCCCGGGGAGTACGCTCGGCCTCTCCTTCTCGACACGGTGGAACCAGAACGATTGTAAAACCCCTGAAGATCCCTTGCAAGCATGCTCGCCCCTAATCTCGACAGCGACTCCAGTTCTCACGCGTCTTTTCGACGATCCTATGAAGGCCACCGCGGTTGAAGACTCTAAGACCTCACGTTCAGAAGCCCATACAGGCCTCTTCTTCGGATCTACAAGCCCCTCTTTCCTCTGTCCGAGTCCCTGCCTCAGCGCTGGTTGCGCTGTCACGGATGTTGCCAACGCGGCATGGCTGCACCAGAGTGCAAGCAAGATGAATCTGTGTCCGATGCGGTCTAAGGCACTCGTTGAAACATATCCAAGTTGCGGTAAAAGGGGGCATCCAGGCTACGTGGATGTTGAATGCATAGATGTAGCTTGGCATCCACGATGCGGCGAGATGGATGACGAAGCTGCAACAACATTGACAGCTCCGTCAAGCGCTGTAGAGAAGCATCTTGTAATAAGACCTTTTCTCTCGAAGTGAACGTTAGCATCTATTGGGCCTGGCCAGGATCTGGCCAGCACCCTCCATCCGAATTAAGCTTGCATACCAGGTGCACGAGAAGGGAACGAGGAACGAGCTATTCTCTGGTTGATTTCCTTCCGTGGCACCGGGCTATCCATTTGAGAAAATGGTACTGGTGCAGCTGTTCGCTGCAGCGATGTTTTTGTAGTGTTGCTGGGCTGCTAGAATCCACCGCAATGCGACAGGCAGTTGCGACGGCAACGTGCCTCCTAAGACTACACCTCGGGCAGGCAGCCACGCCGCTGGAGCACGGCCACCCACCACGTCTACTTTTGCTTGCAAAAAGTCTGATGCACCGTAGAGGAAACCGCTGTGCGGAAGCAATCTTCTGGTACTCCCACGGGCTCGTCCCGGACGAAGCTAGCTGTTGCGCCCTCCCAGTCTCTTCCTCACAGAACTCCCCCGGTGAAGGCATTTACAGCTCATGGTGCCGATTAGATATACACTCCCGTGCTACCTGGTCACTCGAGGTAGTTGTTGGCCATATGAGCTTGTGCTGCAACGAAAAACCTACCTGACCTACCTGAATTGTTTCGAATTCATGCAGATATTAAAGAAAGCGCAGCTGTCACAAGGCCTGAAGAACCCAGGCATACCTGTGATTTCCAAGAGCTGAACAATGCAACACCGGACAGCAGTTCTTTTTGAGAGAGCCACGCAGGCCGGCACCGATGCCAGCACAGTCAGATTCCTCGCCTGAGAGCAAAACCGGAGCAAAAGAACAGTTGAGCACCTGGACCTCTGAGGGCACAGACAACTATTGCAGAGGCACCGAGCGTCTTACGGAATCCATCGTCCCCAAGCTAGTCCACCTCAAATGCTTCTTATGCCACCCCAAACAATCAACTTATTGTGCCAGGAAAGGCTTGGGTTCAAGCAGCACACAGGGTTTAGACCTCTCATGAAGCTTTCAACTTAACAATCGTCTCGGCTTTGGCAACTTGCCTCTGGAGACATGTAGCTCGGCAGTCCGAACGCATCCTGTGCAGCACCGAGCATTTCCAGACATGATGCGTGACCCTTGGCACTCGCTGGAGTCCTCTGCGACCCTCGGCGCAAAGTAGCCACCTCCACAAGTGACCTGACGCTCAGCCTACTCCAAATCGATCCAGGAGAAGAAAGCTTACACTTGCACAGCAGTAACGGTGAGTAGCAGTGGAGAGGCCTTCATGGGAGATGCTAGGAGACCTTGGCCAGGCTCATGCTTGTGAGTCTTCCGGAAAACGTTCCGGCATGCAAGATGAGGTGACGTCTGCAAATCGCACCAGCATCGCCGGAGAAGGGACCTGCACGCGCTGGGCCTCTCCGTAGCCCTTTAACTGCTCGGAGGTGGGAGGATGCCACCGAGCCTGAGGCTGCCGGCCAGCCGGAGGGCACCTCAAAACGAGGTTGCCACAACCCGCCTTCTCTCCAAAAGGCTTTCACTTTTTCGATTGTGGCTGTCTTTGACATCCCTGAGCTGCAAAGATGCAGAGAAACAGAGAAAAAGCATGACGGGCAAAGGGTGCGCTTAGTTTCGCCGGCAGTGTCTGGTGCGTGCTGGCACACTCCCTGATGGTAAAGAACCGAACCGTTCTCAAGTCTTGCTCTCTCCTGCGGTGAGCCTTTGCGGCTTGACAAGCTTTTCAGCGACCCTGGTCTGCAAACCCTTCAACCCTTCCACGATAGCTGTATACTTTCAGATGGTCAAGGCGGTCCAACGGGTCACGAAACGAGTGTGCATCCTTGCGTAGCCCCGCGGGGTCGTGGCATTGTTCTTGTGAGGAAGATCCTAGTAACCAAAGCCGGAGGAACTGACACTGACTGGCCCATGGCGCTGCACCTTACCTCAGCTAATCCCTGGCCAGCCCTCTCCACAAGAGTTCTGCACCGGATGCTTTGCGCCGACTCTTTGACCTCAAGCACAGACTTCAGAGCACGAACTGAGCTGCAGACGTCAAGGGCCCAACCGGCTGCGCTTCCCAGCAACGTTGGCAAAGGAGGAGCGGCCCTGGCGGGGAGCGGCGCAGGCTCGGCGCATTTTTGCTCCGCTTTTTGCTCCGCTGGAACACGCGGCCTGGAAGTTGGCGCGGCACCCGCGCCGCGGCCTCGTCTCGCCAGGCCAGGCCTCGAAGTCGCGAAGTCCCACATCGGCGGTACTGTTCTGCACATCTGGGCACATGACCCTTTGCTGGCAGCTCCTCAAAATGAAACGCATCTCAAGGGCTTGCACCTCTCTCCTTTACGAGGCCCGCGTGCCTGACATGTAGCATGCGTCCCGCCTGTGGAGTCTCTGGTATTGAGAAGTTCCATGCCGATTGGCTGTGGTTCGCGTCTCTTCCGAGGCCAGAGCGGCTGGCCATCCATGCAACTCCTCATGTCATCCAGCTCCGCCTCAACTTGTCGCTGAGAACGAAAAGCTAACGCTCGCTGCTGTTGCCGGTGGCATGATCGACGACAAGGACTATGTCGAAGCCAAAACAGCACACTGCATACAACGGAATGCTCAACGCGTAGCAGAGGCGATGGCAGAAGAGCAGGATCTGTCGAGGCAGTTCGCCATCTCCTGACAGCAACCCACTCTTCACTCGTCTTGCGGTGCAAACTGCAGGGCCGTTTGGCCTGAAGCAGTGCAGCCGGTGTGGCTGGCTTCACTTCCACCCACTTGCCTGCAAGGAGACTTCATGGGGCCATTCAGTTCAACTCCATTCAGTTCAACTCACGAGATGTCCTTCTCTGAGCGGAAATCTCTTGTCTTGCGTTTCGAGTGAACGCTTGAACAGATCAACGAGCTGAACAAGTTCTTCCATGTGTGCACTTTTGTTCAACCATAACGGGGGGCCGCTGTGGCGAAAACTCAGCTTGGGAAAGCGAGCCCGACATCTTGAGGTCTTGCCAGACGTTTCCCGGCTCCGGAAGCTGGAAGCTGCACTTCAACTAATCATTAATCTGCGGGGCCCAGCTCCTGCTCAAGGTATGTACAGGTCGGGTCACAAGCGCATTAACACTGTGAAACGAGAGTGCACGGTGCCGCGAGTGCGCGGCCAGCTAGCCGGCTAACTTTCCTGGAACTCCCAGGCATCCTGAGAGAGCAAAGCAGCCGCGGAAACCGGCGGTCGCTTCTTGCAAAGCCGGGCCGAGCCGAGCCCTGCACGCGTCGGTGGACCTGTCCGTCTTTCTTTAAGCGCCTTCCTAAGGGATCAAAGCTCGGAAGAAGTGACGTGTGGCCTTGACCAGGTGGTTTACGAAGTGCGCAGAGTCTGTACCTCTGCGCAGTGACTCCATGTGGCTCGGCATCTCTGGGCACCCTGGGCACCGCACACAAGGCTTGAAGTTCGCATTCGGTGACACGCCCTTCCTCGAGCTCCCGCTCAAATTTCAACACCTGCTGGGCCAGGTTCTGTCCCGTGGCCCTGACAGCTCCATGCTGGCCTGCACACTGGAGGACTTCACGAGATGCCGGAGCTGCAAGCCCTGCGAGGAATGGTGGTGACAAGACCCCATGGTTTGACCGAAAGTCGCCTTCACTCCGTTCCATTGCATGCATGTCTCAAGCAGGCAATGCTATGCCTCTGGGTTCTCATGAGGCGGCTGTACAGTGGCAGGTTACAGCCCAAAATAAAGCACTTTGAAGTGGCGAAGGTCTCGCAATCCAAAGCAGAGGAGGACTCTCTTCGGCGCTGAAAATCATCCCGGTCATCCCAGTGCTGCCAGTGCTCCTCACCCTGGTGCCGTGGATTTTGCCACAATGTGGCCACATGAATGGCAACCATGTTGGTTGAGGCTTCGGGCAGCTTGAAGACTAGATTTCATGCTTGATGGAATTTGGTAAAATTTGGTAAAACCATGGTTCTTCTCTCTCGGTAGGTAAGAAGGGGGGATGCGCCCTCCCCCCCGGCGCTCCAGGCGCGCCCCTTCTGTTATGGGAAATATAGGAAGCTCTTGGGCTACTAGCTGACCCAGGCAAATTTGTCCTCAGACCAGTCAGCTGAATGATATGACAACTCAGAGCAAATCAGCGACACTTGCTTGCTAACTTGCTTGCGGGGCATTTATTGGGGTCGAGGGTGTGCGCCCCCCGACTCTGTCTCTCTCGCTGGCTCTCTCTCTCTCTCTCTCTCTCTCTCTGCACATTTCTAGATAATCCACCAATCTGCACCCCGCGAACCGTGCTTTCTATAACTGAGTAATATCTCCCACATACCTCAGAGTGAATGGTCAAGGCAGGCAGCGCAGGAAGCGTAGAGGCATCACGAGAATGTCTCCGGCTGCCTGAAAGTGATGTTCTTCACAAGCCTCCCGTCCGACCTCCGACAGGACAGCGATAAGTTCTTCCTTGCTTCACCCTGCCGCGCTGCCTCTGCAAAGATGGCGATGGCTTCATTTCCTGGCATCACCTGCCGGGGCCGTGATCTGCAAGCTCTCAGAGGCTCCCCCGTCAAGATGTCCTGCTGCTTCTCCGGATAATCGACCCAAGGGAAAGCAAGCTCGCCGTCAGTGTCCTGAAGATGCAAAACTGTCCGCAGTGTAACGGCCGTGCTAGAAACCGGCTTCGCTGAGGATCCTTGAGGGCCTGGTACGCGTCCTTGATCCTGAAGGTAAACTTGAGACTCTGCAAAACCCGTACGGCTCGAACCCGTCCTTTGGAACCGGTCAGTTGCATCCGGGTCGTCCTGGTTCTTGTCCTTTCCGTAAAGTTACATGCTTCAAGTCTTGAACAACTCGCCCCGGAAAAAAAGGCTAAGATGCACGCTGGGTGGTGTCGAAGGGACAAGGCTTTGTACTGGCGCTTTATCTCCTGTAACTTGCATAGTGGTCTTGTGCAGGATGTGACTCAAGCGGTGCGCCAGAATTCGGAGCCTGTTGAGAGGCACTATCCGGCAGCTCGAGTGCCACGAACGCGTCCGTTGGATGTGCCCCTGTTTGCAATCGATCCAGGCGCTTCCCTGCACTTCCCGGTGCACGGAGCTGGCTGAGGGCCAGGACGGACGCTGATCGTCACCTTGCTCTCGGCCTCATCTGCACACAGCGCACGCGCACAACGGCACACCCAAAGAAAGCTGTTGGATGTGCCCTGCCATGCCCTGCCTGTTCCCACTGGAAGTCCAACTTCACGGCCGCCCTCTGCTTCTTGCCCCCATCTTTGGCCTGCAGGGGTGCACTCTTGGTCCTCTTCGTTGTACTTCGGTGGCGGCTCTGCCAGCCTTTGCTTTCGGCTTGGCAAAGGGGCACGCTCCCTGCGACACCACGAAGCTAAACAGGCATGCAAGTGCCAAGGACGTTGGCCTGTAGCGTCGACAAGCCGCTGATGGGGCAGATCCGCACCTCCTCCTCCAGAAGTAAAGGCCTGGCATGCACTGCCGCGGCAAAGTCATTGGGTACCCTTCCACATCTCTTCACTCGCCAGCTGTGCACGGGACCACCAGCATCCTCAGAAGAGCAAGGCGAGAAGCCAGAAGAAGCCAAGAGAACCCAAGTGCCTTTGGCGCATCGTCCGTCTGCCTATTGAGGGAGCTTGGCAGCATCTCCTGCTCCGGACAAAGATCTGGGACTTGATGGGACAGCGTGACTCGAGTATGCCAGATGCCTCCTGCTGCAAGATGGCCTCTGCAGACATCCCAGATGTCTCCTGAAAATCAGAGAGGCCATCTTTCGAGAAAATCCAGCCTCGACTTCGGCCTGACAAGTCTCATCGTCGGCTGTTGCTGACCTGTGTCGCATTTCCCACCGCACAGAACTGCAACTAAGCGATGCGAAGGAGCGCCTGCAGTGCGCACGGCAGGTTTGAATCAGAAACATCACTAGGTCTAAGTCTAAACCCGGATGTTGCTTAGGAGTGTGCCAGTGGCTAAGAGGCAGGATACAGCCGTTACAGTACAGGCTTACCGCTTGGGACCAAGTACACTCGATCCACAGTATGGATGGCAAGTGTGTTGAGCCAGAAGACTGCAACGACGAGGGTGCCGACATCTGGCATGACAGAGCCCAGTAGCAGCTGGAGTGTCCAGGAGCCTCCGAGCCAGTGATCGGAAAAGTCCATAAGCACTGCCTGCAGAGCACTTCAGTGCCCCCCCGATGGCTCCAATGCACAACACTATGTTCTGACCTGTGCTGCTTGGGCCCCTTGAGGGCCGTTGGCAAAGCGCACGAAGCCAAACCCACGAGAACGTCGGGTCCGACGGTCAACCATGACAACCTCAGCCACGCGGATCAGCACGCACAAGTGCTTCGCAACCTTGCAGCTCAGCAGATGAAGTGCCCGAGAATACGAATGAACATGGCCAAGCAGCAGCATCCGCTACAGAGCCATACACGCTGAAGTACTCACGCAGAGCTTCGGTTGTGACATCCTGTTAACGATCAGAGAGTTCTCCAAACGTAGAAAGGCTAGTCACTGCGCCGAAGTAGCCCCACCCCTGTCCTGTGGAAGACCACCAATGAAGATCTTGTTTGAGCTTCTCTCCTTCGGCTGCGGCGCTGGCAGCTGGCAAATGGCCAAGTAATTCGGGTCCTCTCCTGGACACGCTCTCCTGGAACTGCTCGTTTCACCTGCTGCGAAAGGTACGGAAAGCTGAGAGCACTACCGCAGAGCATTCGGTCTGAAGTGTAAGCTGCACACATCTACGAGTCGCCCATCCAGCCACTGTGGCTCCGAAAGCGCATTCGCCTGACGAGCAAATGCTGAAGAATATCCAGTTCGGGGATTGGAATTGGAGCAACAACGGCGAAAGAAGACAACCCCTAGGCCCTAGCCGCCCTATCCATCTGCTCCAAGGTGCAGCTGCCACTACCGAGTTGAAGGTCACGAAGCCGAAGCCTCCCAGAGTGGAGAGTCCACGCATGCTGCAGGCGAGATCCATCTGACATCATCGCAATCACACGCGCAGTCACACAGTTCCACTCTTCTCACTGAAAGTTGCTGTGCAGACCATGCTGGATGCATCACAGTCGGCCTGCAGGGATCAGTTGGACTTTCTCTGGTTGTAGGTTGTTTTGCTGTCGCTCAACAACAGTCTCGTGAGGGCTTGCAGCTGCCTTGGTAACTTAGTACGGACGTCGTTCGCTGCCTACGCAAACAAAACACAAGCTGACAGCTGCCACAGATTGCCTCGGGCTTTGCCATCCCTGGACATGACCACCTCGCAGTTTGGAATTTTGCCCTCAGCGTCTTGAGAAGAGTCGCCCCGAGGTCAGCACTGCGTCGATGACATGCCCGTACTTGGCGAAGTGGGACTGAAGCGCCTGGCGCAAGCACAGCTGATCCTTTTGGGGGAAGCGAAATCGCAGTGTAGGATATTCAGTCAGACTTGCAATTCAAAAGCGCTGTTGTCATTACCATATTACCTGCCACGGAGCCTCGGTGCAAGTCTGCGCGGAGATGCCGCCAACGAAAAGCTTGCAGGGTCCTGCACAATGTGCGCAACATGCTATCACAATGCAGCTGGCTGAACGATCCACCCAACGCCCCCCCCCCACGCCCGCCTGGTTCCAGAGGGCTGACGGAAGCGCTCCCCTGCAGAAAAAAGTCCGCTCTTCAATTTGGGAAAGGCCGCCCCACTCAAGCCAAGCTGCAGCTGCTTTTTCGTGCGGGATTTTGGCATTGCGGTGGCAAGTGCGACAATCCGACAGATTTCGCAACTGTTCGTCAAGTCCCCACGCTTCGATGAAGACCGTCTTCAGCACAGGAAGTGTACAGGTCGATGGAGACTATGCGGTGCAGTCAGTTTGGTTGTCTCATGAGAAAGAAGCATATTCTGCCACACTGGGGGTCTTGAGCTTGCCCAAAGTAAAGGCAGCTTCAAAAAGGACGGGTGCAAATGGGACAGCCCGTATATTCCCTATGGCTACCCTGACAAAAGTCGCTCATCGGAAACATTTGAATGGAGATGAAGCGCAGGCCCTCTCTGCCTGCGTTTCAAGACGCTGCCTGGTTTGGCAAGACAAGATCCGTAGGTATCCACGGGTCTCACAGTATCTCACACCCAAGCCCTTGAGCTAGTGACACTACTGTTGAAATCAAGAGGGCGCTCACGGACAACTTCAAGAATTCAGCATTAGCATTTTCTTGCGTGCAGCTTTGCCGAATGCCTTACATTTCGTGGCAGGAACTGGAAAATGCTGTAGCAGATGCTGGCTCCATATCAATTGCCGGTCAGCATGTTCTCGCCGAGCAGTGGGAAACACTTTTGAAGTCTGCGATTGCATAAAGGGTGCACTTGATATGGGCTTCTCTGCATTCTGCAGAAATACTTCGGTTTCAGCAGATGTTATGCACAGCAATCAGAATTCGAGCCCAAGGACTCTGTTGGAACGATCGCCTCGAAGCTGCGTGCAATGATCCAAGGGGGCCCCAGGCCCGACCCGGACCTGACAAAGCCCAGTGGGCCCACGCCCAGGTTCTGGGCTGGGCCTGGGCTTCACTGTGTGCGCGCCAGCTGAACAGCTCGAGCCGCCCTGGCGAGCACAGACACCTCGTGGCACTTGTAGGATCACACAGAATTCAAGCAACGTGCCCCCACGTTGGAGTCTCCGGACATCTCGGGGCCGTGCACGCGCCACCCCCGCCAGCATGCAGGGAGAGCGCACCTGTTGTCCGGGCACCTGCAAGGCTGCCGCGGCTTTCCAAGCCTCAAGGCACACTTCCTGCTGGGGCGTCTGCAACACAGGGAGGCGCCCATCCAAGCTTCAACACCTGCAAAGCAATGCACTCCTGCCCTTTCCCATTAAAGGCTCAAGCCGAGTGCTCGGACCCAGCACAAAGCTTCTGAAGGCCTGCGCTCTCGTCTCAGCTTCGCTTTGAGGCGAGCAAATCCAATGACCACCTCACGTCAGGAATGCAAGGTACCTACGTCTGCACCGTGTTCATCCTTCTAAGACACAGGCGGGCAGTACCATCAGGTCCGGCAGAGCTCACAAGCTTGTTCCAAGAGTCGTGGTCCTCCGAGTCCGAGCATTCTCAGCATGGCTTGGACTGACATGGCCATGGCACACCCCGCCTGGGCAATCAACTTCAACGCTCCTGAGCAGAAGCCCGGCTCCCAAACTGGACGTCGACTGTCGTCACTGTAAGCGCGAAGCGGTTGGCGTCGTGAATCTCACGATGGAGTTTGGCATTCCCTTTGCCCCCACCACTCTTGAGCCTGAGAATCAACACCAAAGCCAGTGGACATTTCTCGTCTCGACCTAACACATCTTCTGACCTTGATGCCAGGGCCAGACAGGGGCACGTCTGACATGCCGAGGGAGGAGCTCATCCATCCAGGTCCAGCAAGACTGGATGCGCCCGGGCCTGTCTTGAGAGGAGCTGCATGTCGACTTGAGGCTGCGCCAGGCAAGGCTAGGCGGCTAGGCTGTTACTAAGGCCGTTCTAAGGCCATCTTCCTGAGCATTTGGCGAAATGCGTTCTACGTCCTCAATGGTGTAGGCATTGGCGAGAGCACTCTTCCTGAGAAACGAAGGGCTTGAAACTGGCGTCTGATTAGCAGCTGGCTGGGAAGAAGACGAGTCCACGTTCACAACCATCACCTTCCAATCTGCCTGGCCTGCCATGAATATCTACACATCCATGTCCGGAGTCACTGTGATGAGAGGACCTTCATCGATCAAGCAGACGGCACCGAGCACACGGCAGCGGACAATCGTGCCAACCTGCGACCAGTCCCATGGCCGGTCCCCAAAAGACAAAAACATCTCGCCAACACCTTCAGCACTTCAGAGCTTTTGCTCTCTGGCCTCCGTTGGAGTGTCAGAGAGGTCAATCCTGCAACGGGCGATGGCAGGTCTCAACCCTTTGCCAAGCTAGACACTCGGGACCGGACACATCCAACGGATCATCATCACCTGGGGCCTGGTAGAGGTCGTCAGCCTCGCCAAGCAACAGGAAGAGAAGCCCAAAAGATGTACTCAATGCACTCCTGTGTTTGTTGGCCTTCTCTGGATCCCGATACGTCTGCGGGAAGCAGCCGTAGTTGAAAGGGACCGGCTTCCCTCAGCACCAAACAGTCAAGCGAATTCCGAAGCACTGGTGCACTCTACTTCTTGGACTACGGCCAAAAGCCGCCAGTTTCTTGGAGCCCTTTAAATCCTGGCCGGGGACAGATGCGAGAGCCGCCGCTTCTTCCCGAAACCGTCGTACCGGATGCCTCCTCAATCACATTGTTTGGAGCATCGGGCCTAAGCACGGATCCAGCATCCAAATATGATAGAGAATCATGATGTAACTTGAGTGCTTGGCTGTACCTCATACTTTCGGAGGGTGCCCATTGGCATTTCATTGACCTCAGCTGTTGCTCGGCATCGACAGCCTAGCCTCAATCATGATGCCGCGGGGTACGAAAGACAGCAAAACCTCGGATGATCGCGTAACGCAGGAGTGATGTGGGCTCATCCAGCCACGACTTGACCTTGGCAAAAGACAAAGGCTCGGACTGATCTCCTCTTGGCCCAGTCTTGTGTAAGCCACAAGCATAAAGGTCGACATCGTGCCACAGAGATGGCTGATCGTCAGGGCTGCTGTGTGTCTCCTACAATACCAGACCATGACGGAAACAAAAAACCTGCAAACTGCAGGAAGCCTCAGGCGCTTTTGGTGCTTCTGCAGCGGTCCACCTGCTCTCGGAGAGTCTCTGAGAGGTTTGGAAAGCCGTTTCGGCCAAGGCACGGCCCCGAAAGTTGTCGATCGAACAAGCACGGCTGGGTAACCTTAGACCATGTCCCGCAAAGATTTTGACTTCCTACAAGCGCTCTAAGGTTTATCCCATCTCAGTCGGTAAGAATACACATCACCCCGAGCTCGGACGCTGTTTCAGAGAATTACACATCTTCGGCGAATTGTCAGGGTATATCGCCTATGCTGAAGTTTCAAGTCAAGTGCGTTTCACCAAGTCGGCCACAACAGCACGCAGAGAACTGCATTCCCTCAGTGTGGGCGCTGACGGATGTGTGAAAAACCAAGCGATGCGAGATGAAGCAAGCACTCGTCCTCAGCTGGGTGCTGTGTAAAGCTAAGACGGTGAGACGTACAGGAAGGTGATTACTGATTCGCCTGACCACAAAGTCTGCCTTCTTAATATTCCTGCGGACTGCCGAGCCAGACTAGCAATGACATCGAAGGGTCTGACTGAGTATTAACTTTCCATCTGGGTCAGTGCGGCTCTCGAAGTCTTGGCATTGCACCTTACTGAGAGCCGTCTGCTCACCTGTTCTGTGCCCATTCTGCGTAATGGCACCGTTATGATGGCGTGAAGCAGGGAGCATCCTGGTAACTTAGGTTTCTGCAACTGTCAACACAATCAGCGTACGTCTTGACCGGAGCACCAATCCTTGATTCTGAGCCTGAGCCTAAGAACTGTCTTGTCCTTAATCCCAAGGCCATCACGTCTGTTGACTTTGCGAAGGTCGCACAGCGCTGAGTGGCGCGACCTGCGGGGAGAGTGAGGCACGTGGCTAAAATTGGAATTTCTAAGCTTTCTGCGAAGGGGGGAACAGCAGCATGTTGAAGCTCGTAGCAGCCATGCCATGAAAGCACAAACAACAAGATCGCGACAACGGTGCAATCTGCTACCTCCTGTTTGATAACACTTCGAAGGCCCGCTGACTAAGCACTCGAGCCGGGCGGGCGCCCGCTTGGCAGGAGGTAGCACTGCGACACAAACACCAATGATTCGGACAGCAGACCATGACACATGATCTTGACACTAGCTGTCACTAGCTCCGAATGCAAGCGAAGCCGAACAACATCCTATCCAACAACTCACGGACCTAGCAAACTGCGCGTGCAAAAGCGCAGACGATGCTCTGCCTCGCTGACCAAGGGCCCATGCCTGGCACGGACCTGGGAAAGAACAGATGGCCTGTGGATGCCTGCGGTTTGACAGCCGGACGACAGTCCAGGTACCGCACGCGGAAGAGAGAGCCGCCTAACAGCCAGTCCGGCCTCAAAGCGAAATCCAAATGCAAGAGAAAGTCTTGAATCACTCGAACATACAGACGCTTCAATTTGCTTTTGGGCATGTACGGCAGCTGCGGCAGAAAAGGCCTGGGAGCACATCATTTCAACCGAGGACATTTTAAGAGAAGGGCGTCTAAGGAAGAGAAACACCCGAGACTGGAAATGGGAACCATGTGAGCATCGGCTGGGCCGCAGTCTGCTACGATGGGCTTGCAGTCCATCGCAAGCCAGGCTGTGCCCAGATGAGGGTGTCCCTCCTGGGCGACATTTGCAGAGCAGAGCTGCACATTCGCCCGGGCTGGCGTAGGACGCGTCCTGTCCCATCTGAGGCGGAGTGGGTTTCATCACCGGCATGGAAACCTGGCATGTGAGCTCACAAAGCAGATGCCCAGACTGTAGTTCCAGATAAACAGGTCGGACTTGCGAAGCAAGAAATTAATTGTCTGGATGCCACAAGGGCGATGACGACTGCAATACCCTCGGACCAATGACACTCTCTCAGGAAGACTCAAACATTCGATGCTCATAGACGATTCAATGGTCATCGTACGCGTCAAGCTTGGCTTCTCAAGGATGCGCATGAGGTTGGCTTCTGAGCGTAGGGCGCAGGCAGTAACCAGGCTGCTGTTTCGCCTCTTGAAACACTTGGCTGCATGAGTCCAGGTGACTCCTCGCGCGCAGCACAAAAAGCCGAGAGACAGAGAAAGAAGCGAATCGACTAGCGAAGCTGCTAGCGAAGCCACTAGCGAAGCGCAGCGCAGCGAAGCTGAAGTGCTTCTTGGGATGTGCTTAGGATCATCTTCCGGCACCATGGGCCCTGGCTCTGCTCCTTCCCGTGTCTTTTCGAGCTTCTGCGGCTTCTGGAACTCCTCCTTGAGCTTGCCTCGGCTGAGGCTCAGCCCCTGCCCGGCATGGAACCCGGAAAAGTCTGCCGGGGCAAGCGCCAACCTGCTCCTGGCAGGTTGACTCATCTCGCTCCTGCGACTGGGACACGCTAATGCCGAACCAACGAGGCACAACGAGGCACAACGACCACGACTGCGCATGCCTTCTTCGAGTTGGTACCCTCAACGATTGTCCAGGCCTGGACCGCTTGCGCCAGCGCAAAACATGAAAGGTGTCAGCGCTTTGCTGGGCTACCGACCATCAAAGCAGCAGGGTACAGGACTTAGCACGAGGCAACTTCGAACACAAGAGCTAAAGCAGCTGAAGGACAAGCAGAAGTAAGGCTTTCACCTAGCAACATGCCGGCAATTGGAAAGGCAAAGTCCTCCGATACAAGTTCGGCACGAAATCTTCCAACATGTCCCCTGTACTGGCCTTCACAACCGCGACATACTCGTGGAAAACCTGCAGCAAGAAAACCCACAATTGACCGTGACTGTACAAGGATGTCAGTGATCTGACACGGAGACACTGAGGGGCAGCAAGGTTTAGATCCAAAGCCAACACATGTCATGAGGCAACACGGCCGATGGCCTCCATGTTCCTCACTGCTTGTCTGGCCCTTCACGAGGCCTCAGAGCCAATGTGCAGTGAGAGGGCTTCCTCCAGAGTCTCTTTGGGCCCGCGCCAACAAGCACACAGAAGTCAACGACTTCCCCCCAATTAGCACTCCAAGGCTTTTTCAAGCCAGGGGCGCTGCAGGAACGACGCGACAAATTGTCTCAGATACTTCACAAATCAAGCGAAAGCTAAATGACCAGCACCACAGATCATGAACATCTGCAGGAAGGGACTCCAGTGCCTTGTCAGCCATAATCTTCGACTTTGTCCAGACCCTGGGCACCAGCAAGTGCAGGCCGTGCATGTATCCGCCGAAGACGATGTCGCAGCTTGGGCTCCCACTGGCAAGCTCCGCAAACTCCCAGCCTGTCTCCTTCCATCCCCTCCCGCCAGCCAAAGCTCTAACTGCAAACGGCGACCAAGCGAGAACACTGTGCTGATGCCGAGTAAAGGGGCCAGTGCTTCACGTGCAACAGCTAGTGTAGCATGCATTTTTGTTGCATCCAGGTCGCCGACTTCGAATCCTCTGGGGTCCTACGCAAGTAGGTGTTCCAAAAGCACCCATCTAAATCCACGAGGTCCAAATTTTCATTCGCCAGAATTACGCACTACCTGAATTACTACGAGCCCTTTCACAAAAGTCCGATGCTGAAAGCCTGGTGCGAACACGGAGAAATCAGGGCCAGAAGTGGTGCTCGCACATCTCACACTGCTGACGATCTCGCATTGTTGCCTAATTAATGCCTCCCGAAGCAAAGCAAACCCGACCTGCAGCAAGCGTTCGCCAAATTTCAACTTCCACATACACACTGACACTGAGCTTTCTGCTTCTACGGCTTGTGTCAGCAGTCTGATGTATGCGACTACGGCTGCGCATGTGCCCTCATCCACGCAATTGGAAGGTGCATGGCGGAATCGTGCAGGGCCTGGCCGAACCCAGCCCGATTCAGCTCCCTGACACGTAAAAACAATGCTTGCCCTCATATGTTTACCTGAAAAAGCCAGGATTGCCAAGACTTCGCGAGTTTCATGCACTTCGCGGCTGAGGTGCAGCACCGAATTTGATGCATTGCACGACGAGGGTTCACGCCTAAGACGCACCCTCCGTGGCACTTCCACTTGCAACAAGGCAGGACTTGTGTGGCAAGCGTCACGGTAACGGCAGCAGGTGAAACATGAAAGTACTCCGCGAAGATATCTCCATCATCTCAGAAGCTCAAGAGTTTTTGATGAATGCCAACTAGTTGCGGTGTTCACGTCCCCAATTTTGTGGAGTGCAACGGCTTTTGGGAGCACTCACCTTCGAGCTTCGGCGTTCTCAGCGCACTGCAGCGCTGCAATGCAATGGTGACAGCTCTGCCGAAAGCGCTTTACGAGTACTATCGGACCGCAACAACGGGTCCTAACCTCAAGGTGACAGAAGCTTTGGCTGAGCCTTCTGAGCCTGAAGGGCCCAGCAATTAGCAGCCTCTCGTTTCTGGGGCAGCCTGGCTGTGCAGCTTTTCGCAACTCGCACCAAGCCTCGTCACAACGCTCATGACTCCGAAGATCCAGAGAAAGAATCCAATGCTTGCTATTGACAGAGGTTTGGAGCGCACGGCGCGTTTAGGAAATCCTGGTTCTAGAAGTTTATGGGCGGATGGTCGTCCGCCGCTCCTTTGGAACATTAGCCGCAGTCGCAAGTCAAGATTGGGCCCATTAATGCCCACCTAGGGCTAAGGGTGTTAAGGGCCGGCTTGGATTGTTCCAAATTGCGGGCTCACCATTGCCCGGTGCCTTGGAACATCTTGAATCTTCTGACAAACACCTGTTCACATCATGTGCTCGCGCCGCCCCAAGCCGCTTCGAGCGATGACAGTCCTCAGAACAAGGGACTGAGGGGTTGAAACCGCTGCCGTATCCTGCAGCTTCTCTTAGCTTTAGACCCTTGCCGGCTGGATCCTCGCAGACGAAGGCCCTGCAAAGTAGAGGAAGCCCAAAAAGCAGCTGACAAACCTGACCACTTTCTGCCTCGCTGGACCCAGAAATCTCATTTTTTCTCACGGATGCTCCGGAGTGCACAGGAAGGCTACACACCTACTCGGACGGAGGGCCCCCCGAAACCAAGCGAAAAAGGCCGCTTGAAAGATCTGCACTGTACCTCAGCAGTTAAGCAGTACCCTCAGGTAACGAAACTAACTACACAGCCCCTGTCGAAAACCGAGACGTGGAGTGTGACATGCACTGCTTCTGTGTTTTCCAAGGGTTCCAGTGTCACAAGAGGTTCTTGGAGCATACACATAAATTTATGTATTTATATATTTGTATATTTATACATTTATACATTTTATATATTTATATATTTATATAGTTGTATATTTATATATAACTATAAATTATATATTTATATATTTATATGCTAGCCCCCCCCAACAACTACCACGAGGTGCCGCAATAGCGCCACCAATCCTCCTACGTTGAGGCCACTGGTGTATGACCCAGGTTTAGCCGTTAGGTTTTGAAGTCCTGAGGAGACAGTGTACGTATGTCGGCAGAAGCCTTCATTCTCAATTCTTGCGACCCTTCACGCAGATACTCAGAAAGATGATTTCTCCAACGATGAAATTTATTAATGTCTGATAATGGTATTTCCCAAGGTAGCCTTCACTGTAGCCTCAGATCGAAGCTCCAGCAATACGTATGAATGACCGTGGGCCTTGACTGACTGCTATTCCTAGACAACAGTATCCCTAAGACCTTGCCATTAGACCTTACATCGGCCCCAATAATCTTCTATTTCATGTTCACCCAAAAGAGAGTCCTTATAGATTCATGTCGTAGTTCGTATGGATTAATCTACTATGTCGATTGAACCCCATTATACATCCCCATATTAACTCCCATATCGACCTGAAGGTTAATACAATAACATACATCAGCCTGATTGGCCCCCCGATGGTAAGGATATTGCAGTCCCCCTTGGCAACCCTAATATTGACTCTGACTCCAAGATGGACCTTACTTGCAAACGAAACAATTACCCGTAAGCTGTTCGCATTGGTAACCTTCGTACTGCACAAGATACATCCTTCCACAACAATCCGAATAATGGTTTTCAGAGAAACCCCGACCATTGGCCTCAAAAACTATTAGGGATGATACCAGCATTTGTTTGTTACCCCAACATCTTGTATATGGCACCCCCTTTCTCAAAGTAG